CATGTTAGATGGCAAATTCGCCATGTTTCGGAATCGCACTCCCAGATCCAAATGGGATTTCACATCGACAAACTTTCGCACTCGGATTACGTGTAACTCACGGAAGAAGCTGGTCTAGTCATACTGAAATGACCATGGAACCATCAGGTCCAAGCTGGTGAGAGAAGTACGGACGTGACGGTCTTCTGCACAGCCCACAACTGAAGCAGGAGTTTAGACAAAGCTTTTTGCATCGTAATTTTCAAGGGTCGAGTAGCGCAGTCGGCTACGCGAACGGAATAGGAGAATGTAACCTTGACAGAGCTTGCAAGGAAGGCATGATCCGATCGGTGCTCGCATACCTGTCACCGTAGCCCAAGGGCTGAGCCTTCCTCGGAACGTGCTTCTGTGGCATGGCGTTTACATACTGTATCGAAGAATATCTACGAGTTATAGACTTAAGTTATGAAAGGCCGCTGTAGAGTATTGCGGATCTTTCTTGCATCAGGTTGTTGTGAACTGCCTATTAGGTCATCTATCTTTGATATTCAATGGTGGATTATGATTGGTGTTCTTTTGTGTGCTTTACTGCAAACTAGAAGCGCGGTACACGGACTCTGACAAAGTCCGAGTCGTCTTTACAAAACGATCATAGGTCTGTACGACAATTGACGGACGAATAGTGGGGATCCTTTCGATGATAACCCGTAGTTCACTACTCTATATTTGGTAAAGCGTATCTACTAACTTTTGATGAAATAAAGTCGCAATATGTCCGCAGGGGTAGGCAGGGCCAATTCGAGGTTTGGACTGGTATCTGCGAACTTCCCTGAGATGACGCAGGGAGCGTGGCTTCTCATCTGTCGCAGGCGGCGTAGGCGACGACTGGAGGATGCTTGCTGGTGGAGTGCTCTGCTTCGGCTTCTTCTCCATCCCCTTTATCACCGTGCTCGAGCTCGAGATGTCATTGTCGAGCTTCAGTTCGAAGTCGTTCATCAAGATGTGTTTCCCGAGCGAGGGGAGGGCGCAGTGTTTTGCCAAGCAAGGTCCATCTCTGGTTGGCGTGTCCCTGTTTCACGGTGTCACGTGAACGCTGAGAACTTTAAGCCGCTTATAATTTGGGGTGCAGTATCGCGAGGAGTGACGTTGTTGAGGTGATGCCGGTGCAGATCAATCTACCTGGCACATTTTTATCGGCTAGCCGAGATCTCACGGAAATGTCCTATAGCATCCGGACCATACAGTACTTGATCCTCGACGAGTCTTTTCGAACTGCCTATGCAGGGTCGACCAGGAAAGGGTAGAAAAGAACCATAGAGACAAGCGGGCTTGGTTTTGCAGTGTAAGCTGGATAAGCGAGGTAGGCGACTCACTAAGCTGATTTCGGCGAATCCGTAGTGTATTTAACATATAAGTTAGAACTTTCAGTCGTTTTTGCACCCGTACTGTCTTTCCTTCTGCGCTCCGAGGGTAAAAAATGTTTACCTGTTATCAAGATATACACTGAACAACGAATAACACTAACCTTCTTGACGGATCGTTATATCATCCTAGGAGTTTACTTAAGAATCCCAAGGGACAATTTACTAATAACCTTTCTAAGTTTCCTTGGCCCAAGATTCGTTTATCATTCAGAACACGCGTACCTCTCGTCCTTATCACTAATATTTCGGGGGAAATGCCTTTGCGGAAAAGGGCTTCAGAACAGGACTGTATCTTACTCATGACTATTATGTGTTGCATAAGTCATCCTACTGTACCCTGGTTTTGGATTGCAGAAGATCAGTGCTGCCGAACCGTCATCATCTCGATAAAAACATTCCCTCACGAATTTCAGGCTCAGGAGTGGGCGGAGTCCAAGAGCTCAGAATTTCTCCTTGTACAGACTCCAATTCGATTTTGATGAAACGCTTTTTAACAGCAAAAATTCCGGGATGCTTATATTCCCATGCTCAATCAATGGCCAAGCTGATGATTTGAGGCCGTAACTGGGTAAGTTAGATATCTCGTTCGGGTCAATCCCAAAAGGTAGTTGATAGACCAAACCACCGGCTCGGGGGGTATGAGAAGCTGTCGTTATAGCTTTGTCTGAGGGGGCCTGCCGCATATCTTCTCAAGATGTGTATAGTGAATGTGTGGTTTCCTAGACTACAGTCTTGGCGGAGGAGGACTGTTGGAGAGGATTTTAGAACACGAAAACTTGGGTCGCTCCCACCGATGTCCATCAGGATACTGTGAAGGATGGAAAGTGAGCCGGGATTTCCATTTTTCGTGATGAACGCTCACTGGCGTCTCCACGGCACGGAAAATGGGGATTAACCCCAATCCCGGCGTGGTGAACGCCGTCGGAAATGCCCGACGTCATGCAACAAGGACGGATACCTCACTTCATATTGCATGGATATTCTGCCTGCAGCTGTCTGCGTTTCTACAAATGGGTGAGTTTCCTCCATGGCTACTACAGTAATGAATTCTCGCAACATATACCAAAAGTACAATGAAATGGGCCCTCTAGGTGTGCAGTTTTACCTTCCGTTGATTGGGATTTGTCTCACACAACCCTGCATCTAGGAGCCACTTTCCTCCCTATGGCTCTTCTCGACCCTAGAAAGGAATTAAAATGTGTCGATATCACATATGCCAACCTTTGAGCCAATCAAATCCAAGCATGGAAATGTTACAGAGCTGGGCAAGGGCGCTGAAAGGTACCTTGTGCGATCGGCTGTGAAATCCGTTACCAAGCACGTCGTCTAGGATTCGAACCTGGGTCGGGACTCCTGGTCCTTGAGACTCAACAAGGTGTCCTCAATTTTCTCAACCAATGTTGTCGAATGATTCTCCACGATATGGGCTCTTTGATCGACGACAAGATCCCAACCCAACCAGAGCCGGAGCCGATCGCCACTGGCTGGCAAGAGCAGCCCAGTCTGGTTTCTCTGTGGGCAAAAGAGCCGTACCGGGCTCCTTCCCAAGTCGATTTCAAAGGACTGTCGACGCTGGTTGCCGCGGAGCAGGAGGCTACCGAGGATCACATTTGGGCCTTGAGGGAGGACGCTGGCTATTTTGCCGATGTTATCGCAGATTGGACCGAACATCGGTCGGAGCAAATGCTGGACTTGGAAGGGAAAGCCTAGGTTGGATCTGTCGGATCGTGCGAACCGACAGATTGTGCGGAGGAAGGCGATCGTGGGCGTCGTCAAACAAGCATATGGGGATCTTCTCTTGTGGCTCGGTCTCCGCAAACTGCTCACGGATTTGGACGGGGTCATAGACCCACAAAATCTACGTCTTCTGACTCTTCTATTTACACTCCGGCGTTTCAGCGACCTCAAAGTCAACGCCTTGAAGGTTGGTGTTCCGGCTTCCTCACCGCTCCGTTCTGGCTTTGCCCGCGATATGCGGGACAGTACCGAGATGCTAGGATGGAAATATCCAAAGGGCGAGCCCTACGATCATCTGATCTTTCTCTTTCAGCAAATGTGGACGGAAGACGGACGTGAGAAGCTTGGGTTATCAAATCTTGTGGACGAATTGGGTCGGATGATCGAGACGGACCGCAGAGAGAAAGCCAGGCTGTCGACTTGGGCGTTGAAACATGTCACCGATCTCGGCGTCCTTGTGCACACCACACGCGTGATCGGTCGCTACGATGAGTGGTCGTACTTCCGTAGCGACGAAGATTGCCACGGATCGTTCTGATGGTTCGTGTGCTGCACTTAGCAATAGTGGCCATAGCCTCGTCTTTGAGCGATCCATCAACGATCATATTTTGAAGCACGTCATGCTGGGAAGGCGCCAGGTTAGGTGCCATTGTTTACTTGTCGGACGTGTTCCGATGCAGGCGGAACGCGTGCCCTGGTCGCCGTGACACATTCTTCCCAGTTTATTCGCAACACGTGTCCTCTTTACGCGTTAGCGTTTCTCGAATCTTCTGTACTGCAAAGCATAGAGGAGACTGCCGTCAGACTACGGGCAACCACTAGAGCTCGTGAAGCTAATTGCGGTATGTGCTGTTGTGCGGCACTGACTTCGGCAAGTTAAAGCTGCACATAATGTCGTTATACCCCGCAACCCTGGAGCCTTCGTGTCACAACTTGGCAGAGGACTTTGACAATCCTACTGATACTGCATCTCATAAAATCCACGATGTGCAATGAATATGTAACCATGACGATGTGGTCCGGAGGCGGCTGTAAGGTGGGAGTTTGTGATCAGACTCAATATACGGCGGATCCATGTCCTGACAAACCTGCTACTGGCATCCGCAACTGCCACAGGTATAAAAAAGTGGTTGCAGGATCGTCGAAGAGAAAGGGCCCGCGCCCGGGGCACAATCATGATTCCCAAGATCAATCAAGCTCAGCGGGTCAGCGGACTTGATTTGTGGGTAGGTCAAAAGCTGTTTAACCAGACATGAAAGATTCCACTCTAAACTCATCAGAGCTTTGAAAACCTGCGACATGGCTGAGAGCGCTCAGCATGAGGCTGCGGTTTCGTTTTCGAGTTCTGGGCTTATCACTGCCTGACGGATGACATATCAATATCCAGAGTAAGATGCGGAGACGGATCGTTACTCACGGAGAAGGGCGACAGGTAATAATACTAAATCCATCTTCACCTTTCACGGCTTATTTCCTGCTGAGTGTGTTCGTCACGGCGTTCAATAATTCCTTGCTGTTCTCAAACTCCTGGTGCCAGCATTTGGAGATTTCTCTACCAAATAAAAGTCCCTCGGTGTTTGGAAAGATTGCTTGTTCGTATCTTGTTTCTATCGTCTGGTCGTCGATCCCTGCGAAGGGTTTTTCACCAACCACGAGCTCATATAGTGACGAGCCCAGTGCGAAAAGATCAGTCTGTTCAGAGCTGTCAACGGCATTGGGTCGGGGAAGCCAATGGCTTGAACATTCGAGCCCCAGTGCTGGCCTCTCTTTGAGGGCAAGAGTCGGCTGAGCATCGAATCCCGAGCCGTTGAAATCAGAGAGTCTGACACTCTGCTCGTCGTCCAAAAGCCACTGTTCTAATCGAAGATCTCCGTGTCTGACGCCTTTTGAATGGAGGTAGGAGATACTCTCGATCATTTGAATACCCCAGCGTTTCTTATCAGCTTCTGGTGTTTTCGAGTCTTTCCTTTCGAGGTAAGCTTTTATGTTGCCGTTTGGATAGAATTCGAGTTCGATCAATCCCAGCGGCGGATTGCTCGAGTGACAACGAGCAATCCGGGGGTGTTCCTCAAGTATTCGGTACACAAGAGCTTCCGTCTCGCAGCATGCTAGATTCTGTTGTGTTATAGCTGGATCTTCCGGAAGTACGTTACATACTTTAACCACCCTATTGCCAATGCGAAATGTCTTTGCGCTCATGCCGACCATGAGCAATTCAGCGTGGTTCGTCATTAGTGTATATTCACCAGATTGCTGCTTGTAGTATACTGGATGCAGCAGAAGTTGGTGGAGGGAGAGGATGAGGCTGGGCTGCAGGGTCCAAAGCTGATCCATCTTGGCACCCCTTTTGTAATTCCCCCTAATCCAAGCTAAATGTCAAGACGAATCGCCGTAATTTACGAGGAAATCAGAGGTAACGCCGTAATATTGTTGTGGCTATCATTGGCTAGGCCTCGAGAGATAAGCTTTACCATTTATAGACTAGACTACGGCACAAGAACTCCGAAAACGATATAATAGAGAGCCGAAGTGGAAACCGGTTATGCAAAACTCTGTTACTATATCACTTCAAAATGGATTACCAGACGCCCTCCTCACTCCTCGCTCCGACCGTGGAGATTTGCGGGATGGTCGACAAGTCCAAATGATGGCGAGTGAGTGGTCGTACCTTCACTTCGCCTGGGCCTCTTCCTCCCACCTGGATGCGGTCAAATGTGGCTTCGTCCTTTGGTGTTCCCGTTACTGTCCTTTCTTTGAGACACCTCGCGTGTGTCGACCGTCGAGATGGAGGCCAATCGCGCCCGAGACCCACGGATCGGCAACCTCCAGCGGGCCGAGTGGCGCCAGAAATGTCGGCAGCTTCTCGCAGAACATCTTCGTAACGGTCGTTCCTCCGCGGCGATGGGCCGTCCGTTGACTCGGTGGCCATAGGGACGAAACTAGGCATTGCAATCGACCCCCATCGGATTCGGCTCCGAACCGATCCCCGGCACGACGGATATACGTGGGCTCCCGTATCGGGACATGAGCATCGCTTTCAGGATGGGCTGTTCGCCAAACAGCTGAGCAAGCACTCGGTGGGGGCCTACATGACCCTCTGTCGCGAAGTCGGACGGTACTTCGAGGCCGTGTCGACATGGGACCGTGAGAGATCCCGGACCGCGGTATGGGAATCACTACACTGTAGTGGGCATGGCTCGATCTAACTCTGACGTTCCCACAGGGCCGATCCCCCGAGACGGAGGTGGCGGTGTCGGCAACCATTCACGCCCCGCCGGCACGCCGTGCCGCAACGAGCGACGGGCCCCGGCCCGTGAGGCAGCACACCCGCACCGGCGCGGACGAGCACCATCACCGGTGTCGAGAGGTCCGGCAATTGCAGGATGAGATCGACGACGCACGAGACCGGATCCTCCGATTGACCCGGCGGAACCACCTGTTGTGCGGGCAAGTACGACAACTGCAAAGGCGACACAAACGGCACGAGAGGAGCGTGGTCCACGTGTTACCGGTCTTGGAGATGATATGCGCGACTCTGAAGAACGGCTGTGGCGACGACAAATTGTGGGAGTCTGAAGGGGCGAACAATGAGAGCCACGATGAAGTGGACGGGGACCATCAACCATCCAGAGCGGACCCTGCGGATGGCCAGAGGAGTTCTGACCTTGGATGAACACGCGGAAGATGGACCGTGGCGAGTTAGGAAAGTGTTTTGGGTTCTAAGATCTCGTGGTGAACTGGAGTGAGCCATTATCTAGAGGAATATTCTGGCCGAGCTGGAAGTCCAGGTTTTGGACGAGTCCAAGTGGCAACCACCACGACGGGCTGAACTCTCGATTTCACGTTCAACGGTACCTTGTCCCGCCCTAGCTCATGACTTGGGGACCGAGAACCATTGGTACGGGCGAGCCCTGGGGTCCCCTCGTCGCCACGCTGCCAAAATGGCATTCTGATTTCATCCGGCGGTCGTCCACATCGGCGATGGCCCTCTGGGTGGCATCCAAAGCGTTTTCGAAAGCTCACGCAGATTCTGGGACTCGACTTCCATCAGGTGACGAAGTACGAACCCTTCCCCGCCCCAATATTATCGGAGTGTACTCCGTACAGTTGAGACGTCCGTCGCCGCCTAGCCCACGCTGGTACTTTGACCTGTCCAAGGGAGTCGAGTGACCGGCCTCCGGAGACGGAAGAGCAAGTGGTGTGGCAGAACGCCTAACGCCTAGATTTCGGTGGTCTCCCCGTGAAACGCGCTCCGAGCTCACTGTCCCACGTAGATCTCTTCACGCAACCTCTGCAACCTTCCGAAGACCAACGTATTGTCTCAGTCTCGCAATCTTCTCTTCTCTTCTTCCCGTGGTAGACAGATTCAAATCTCTGAGAAGAGACTGAAGTGCGTTAGGTTGAAGGCTTGTAAGGTCTTGAGATGTTTGAGGAAACTCTTCGATAGGCGCGCCAGTTCTTGGGTTAGCTAACGGGGCGAGGCGATCAGAGGGACGCGTAAGGTAAGCATTTTGTACACGTGCGGCGTTGTTTTGATCCCTGATAATTAGTCAAGATAGTTATACGCTTTCGGGGAGACTTACAGGACGGTAAGTTGTGCCTGAATATGATTTGTTTTGGTATCAATTTGATCGAGTCGCTGATCGAGCTGGTCGAATCTTCGCTTGAAGCCATCGAGGCTTTGGTTGATCTGATGAAGAGACCGTAAAATTGCATTGCCGTTACTGAAGGCAGGGAGATTTGGGAGCTTTCCAACTTCTTCAGCAAGTTGAGAGAAGGATTGACGTATCCGCCCGGGATCTGGCTGGGGGCCGAGGTCTGCCATGAAGGAGAAGTGTCCGGGGAAATCGTAGGTTGAAGATTCCTCAAGGAAAAACCACTCTGAGCTCGGCTTGACTGTATTGCATATGACTCCAATCTACGCTGCCTGTGGCCGCTCAGGTCGATGGTCGATACCCTGCCTCAATTTCATTTCCTTGGGCGTACGCCAGACAAGACGCGCCGTCGAAGAAAATAAATCTAACCCGTGCTTCGACATCAGCTTCACATCCTCCTGACCGTGTGAGGTAACGAAGCTCGCCCACCGCGATTTGACGTCTTGCGACAGTGATGGGTTCACGGCAACCCACACTCTCTGAATGACCTCGTGTATGGTTTGGCTGACCGGCGCTTCGCGATTGGTCAAATGTGACTTGACCGGAGGAGGAGGGGTGAGAGGGAGACCATGGGAAGCTCAAAGGTGGGGGGGGTTGATATCTTCGCTATTACAGTATGAGCGCGGTGTGTTCTTCAACGACAAAACGATCTGACTGACTGTTGCGGTCGGCAGAGGATGTTGACACCCTGCGCTAAGTGCGCAGGCAACAAACAACGCGGCATTTCCAGACGGGTGACGTCGGCAGAGTTGTCGACCACGTGACCCATTTTTGTTTTCGCAGCCTAACCACTTTCATCTGACTCAAGACCTCGCCCTCCATCTCACCTTCTATTTTTCTTTTGCTCTCGTCCCTATGGCACCGTCTGGCCCGCATTGTGCAGTATGTCGGACAGCCTTTCACTCAACCGAAGCTGCGACGTTCCGCCGTCAGAGTGACGATACCTAGGGTTTGGGACCGAATGGCGGCACCCCATTGTCTAGGATGGGTGCAAAACGCCTTCTGCGAAGAATGGCTGGGTTTCCGCACGAAGCCCGGTCAGAAGGAAGAGGTGATAAGAGAAGGACCGACTCGGTGATTATAACCCTCTGACTGGTGGGAAAAGAGGCAGATTTTGTGGTGAGGTCTTCTCGAGAAGAACTACGGTCTGATGCGTGGTGGTTGCAATGGGGTACTGGGGACGTGGGACGAAGGGGTGCGCAGTGGTTCGATTGGGGAAACCTTGAGACCGGACACCTCCATCGCCGTTCGACACTGATCCACGAATGAACGCATTTTAGCCCAACTTCATTCCAATACCTGGTGCCATGATGGGGATCAACAATCTAGAAGACCTGGTTCAATTCCAGTGGGCGTCGCAAGTTTCGCAAAGGTATGCCCAAGGTCCCAACAGTCCTAGGCCATTTGAGGGGCAATCCCTCCCTCCTCCCTGCATCGGTCGCCCCTGCCACCCAACCGAATGGCACCCATTGGTCTTTCGGGGAGCAGGATTCGTCCCTACGAAAGACGTTAAATCTGTTGCATTCGGTGTGATGGGAAGCAGGAGAAGGAACCGTTGTGGATGGTGAGAAGTTCCAGTGTCGAGATACGACCGGGGATGCTCTGGTACATTTTCGGTGAGATCTCACAGCACACCTGGCATGGCATACACCACATATCGCTGCTTTGGGCTTCGACGCCCTGGTGAAACATTCCACGCTCGACACCCTCATAGCAAGTCTAGGGATGACACACAGTGACCGCATGGGCCTGAACTGGGAAGACTGTGACGCTGAGTGCCTGCTAGAACGCCTTGGGAGGTCTGGGACGTACGATCCGGGGGTGATCGGCGTGTCGCCGACAAGGGGTCTCGTGAGGCGGGCGAAAGAGATCACGCTGGGTGGTGGGATGCGAACTGGTCCGCTTCGACATCTGGACCCGTCGCAGAAGGTCAGCCAACTGTAACAAGCTCGCCCTCGTCCAGTGACAACATCCTGGACCTCAGCCCATGGCTCGAGAATGTATTGGTTAGATAATTGCATCGCGCTCACGGGAATGACGTTCTCCACTACACGGATCCTCCCTTCTTCCAACCATGGAGAGACGATCTCGGTGGGGTGCGGCTCTGAGGAAGAATCAGCCAAATCCGCCATGGAGAAGTCCCCCAGGACCTGGTTTAGCTCTCGAGCCGGGGGGGGGGGGGGGGAGGGGCAGAAGGTCCCCAATCAGTCAGTCTATCTGACGGGCCTGACAAAGCAACGCCTGCCCCCCGCGCTTTTGCCTGTCGGTCCTCACAAGGTGACCCCTGGCCCCGCGTTTCGATGCCCAGCACGCTAGTGGTCCATTACGACGTGCTGCGTGCCATTCTCGGCAGACACCGTGACTGTTGGATGGTATTGCATTAAGCCTTGCGTGATTGGGGGTTGGTCTCCCTTATCGGACTGCGATGCGAACCCAGGATCCGAGCACAAAGGACCGCCTCCACCGAAAAGCTGTCGAGATCCCAGGCTGGCTGGCTGCCAAGGACGGCCATGAACCTATCGATATCTGGCCACAGCGAGCCTTTTCCTCTGAGAACCCGCTAGTTGAATGTCGGTCAATCAACGTCGTCCACGTACGGGCCCACGCTTGGAAGCGAGGAACGAGACATCATCGCCGATCCCTTGAACCTGCTCTGAGGCAATGCCTTCACCTTGCATTCACCGATGATTTGCATCCATCCCCGTCGAGATGTTTACATACCGGACGCGGTCGGCCTCCTTTATCGACAAATCATATCTTCGCGGGGTAGGTCGAGTGAATATCAGAGGTAGATTTTAAGCATGGACCGTTCATCCTGACTTCGCCATCTCTTCTTATCCATTACCTCGTAATCTCTGCTGGTCCCAAATCAGGCCTTGTGTTATCATCCAATGGCTGACACTGCGGCAACTCGGTCGCCTGACGTCCCCAGCTACGCACAACCTACTCGGAGTACCTCCATCAAGGCTGTGAGCCCAACATCAGACCCGGACTGTCCTACAAACCCCAGTCGACTCCCGGTTAACCACCGCATTAGACACCAATCCTCAACCACGGCAGGTCCGTCTCGACCCCGTGTGGGCTCCAGAGCGAGTCCATATCGACCGGATAGAGGCACAAAAGTAGGTAACGCCCTGTCTCCTACCCAAGATGGGTCGTGGCAACCAGAGTTGATTCAATCTATATTCTTGCTGACGAGATGGTTGTGGAACCGGCTAGACGGCGACCGACACTCCTTTCGCGGACGATGACCCCATTCTCACGTCCGACCTGGACCCTCTCAAACCCAGAGATGCATCTGAAAGCGACCCGGGGGAAGGCCCATCGCGCCCCGGACCACGTGCTAAGGGCAAGGCAAGGGCTGGGAGCATGAGCGGACGCTCTCACCCTCGTCCAACCGAGAGAATTATCGATGATCTGGGACGGGCCCTGCGGGATGCTTGGGAATCGAACCGGGAGACCAGAGATTCGAACCGGGAGACAAGAGATTCGAACCGGGAGACCAGAGAATTGAATCGGGGGACAATCAATACTCTCGTGGCCCTGCAGAATGCAGTCCAGGGGCAGATCACGAACCATGAGACTCAGATGAGAAACCAGGAGGCCCAGTATCAAGAGCAGTTGGTGGCACTAACGGCAAACCTTGAGACCCAAATGGAAAACCAGAGGGCCCAGCACCAAGAGCAGATGGCGGCACTGGTGACCCAAATGGGAAACCAGGAGGCCCAACATCGGGAGCAGATGGAAACCCAGGAGAACCAACACCAAGAGCAGATGGTAGCTCAGGGGACCCGACATCGGGACCAGACGGCGACACTTACAGCCTGGATGGACAACCAGGTGGCCATTGCCCGAGCCATGGCTCGGGGAATGAAGTCGGGACCATCCCCGGGGGCGGGCATATTTTGGTTCCAGAACAGCGAAGATTGTGCGAGATCCAAGGAGAAGAGGGGACAACTCATGCGGATGGACGGCCGGGTTTGCAAGCACAGGCGCTAGAGCGCCCAGCTACACGCGGTCGCGGTGCAAAGCCCATCCCAAGGGGACATGCGATCGGCTGGCTCCGGTCCTTCCCCGTCGCCTGTTTGATGGATATCTTGAGGGACACGAGTATGTGGATACGTCCTTACGAGAGAGCACGGATCATTTAGGACGGCATGAGACAGTGGCTCAGAACCGCGTCAAACTTGGCAGCCTCAGCGTTGATGATGTCCCTATAATGGGCCCTATATTGCGCGCCCTCTAATAACTTGGGTGGTCAATAATTTATGGTCAACTGTTTGCGGCGACGGAGTGAAATCTATGTCCCGGGTTGCTGTATGTGAGCCGATTAGTTCAGAATTCGTTGCCGCTTGCACAACATTGTATTGGACTCCCTTTTTTTCACTGAACTACGCGCCAGTTTGACTGTGGAGGAGTGGCGTGCTCACGTACACAGTTCGCTGTGCGACTGGCATATGCGATTACTGTTCATAAGAGTCAGGGGTTGACACTGCCCAAGGCTGTTTTGAATCTAAATCAGAGGGAGCATTGCTTGGGCCTTTCGTATGTCGCTGTATCACGGGTGAAAGGTTTGAATGGAGTGTTGTTTGAAGGTTCGTTTACTTTGGAACGGTTTAAGGCTGTCAATTCAGTCAATATCGGAGGAACGCGAGTTGGATCATATGTATAGAAATGGACAGCTGTTGTAGGACCTAGGGACTAGTGAAACATCGCTGTTGAAATCGTCGAAATCGCTCTTCAATTGGTCGTAGTTCAAATCGCAGCTTGATTGGGGGTCCAGACAAAGCTAACGCTTTACTCTCCCGCAAAGATCCTATTCGCGGCCCCCTCGTACGGGGATAGAAGTGTTAGATTTCAAGGGGCAAGGGGATTGGATCGGCATGATCGCCTAGTGTCGCACTGTTCGCCCATAAAGCGATGAAAGGTCAGGTGCTATCGATGATAAGCACCAGTGTTATTTTCTTGATTGCTTATTGTCTGAGGTAGAGGGAAGAGTACTCCGTCCCGCGTAAATATACGAAGCCCACTATCACCGTAGTTGGCAAGGTTGCGCCAAGATCAACAATTTCTGCGCCAAGCACCAAGCTGGCGCCCTACGAAAATACCCAAACCCTCCTTGTCCTCGCGACGTCAAATTAAGCACCCTCGCGATGCAGCCCAACATTCGGCTATGTCTACGTCGCCGACTCCTCTGAAAGAACATCAACATAGCACACCGCCTTCGATTGTCGTACGCGCGCCCTTAACGCCCCCACTAACCCACGAGAAGGCATTCACCCAAGCTCCCAGAGTCATCGCACTTTTCAAAGATATCCGAGCCGGCAGACACATCGATCAACATCCGTGGACAGAATTCCAGCTTACACGAGGGGAATACGATGAGATAAAGCGTCAGCTTGGCCGAGACGAATCGCTATTCGGATATGTCAAGGACAAGATACGGTGCGTGGGCTCAGGGGGTGACAGAGACCGCGGCTAATTATGAGATCGGGCAGATATGACCACGACGGAAGAAGCCATCGACTTGTCGTTCGCATGCCGACCGGGGTACATGAGCTCTTCATCGATGGAGTCGAGGACGCAATTCGAAGTCAGCTGAAACTGATTCGCCGCGGATCAGACAGGGCGGGCCGCTTCGCGCAGAAAGTGCGCCCCGCTCGTTCCACAGAGATTTGTTTTCCGGTCGACGACGCTCCGTCTAGTACCAGAACGAAATATGAGCCGGACGCCTCTTTCTGGCATGACGATGCACAATACCCTGGGGTCATCATCGAAGTCGCATATTCGCAGAAGAGGAAGAGGTTGGATTGGCTAGCCCAAAGCTACCTTTTGGACTCGGATGCGAGCGTGCAGGTTGTTGTCGGCTTGGACATTGAATACGGCAAGAAGGGGTCGCGTCGGGCGACATTGTCGGTGTGGCGGACCCATGTCGTCCACACTGCCGATGGAGATGAGTTGAGAGTGGTTCAAGAAATCGCAGATGAGGTATGCCCTACCCCCAGACCATGCTCTTTCACCTTCAATTCCTGACATCCTTCACAGGCGTTCCGCGACGACCAAGGAAACCCTGTCGATCATCCAGGCCTACGACTTCAACTCAGAGATTTTGCTCACGAAGAACTTGCGTACGATGAGATCGAAGATGAAGACCGTGAGTTGGTCGTCTCCGCTCAGCAACTCTGCCAGTGTCTTACTGCGGCGGAGACCAAGGTACACCCGCTAAGATCGCTTGGCAAGCATTCGATTGCCCCGGGAATCAAGAAGCGAAAAAGATCAGAAACACCTCCGGAAGGGATGGCTTCTGGGGATGAAGCGAGGTACGTGGAGCAAGAGCAGAGAGCGGCTCAGCGTATGGCGCACGGCGACTCCGATTGCGAGGAGACATGAGAAAGCACTTTCGTCAGACTGAAAGGGCAAGTTTTCACTGGAAGATCGTAACCGTTGTGGCTTCAACATTCGGTTGTAGCCACTACCGGACAGTCGTGATGAGACCTCTCCAGGGCAGTGACTATTCGACTTAACCGAGCTTCGGCAACGTTTTCACGTAGACGTGACGTCCACGCGGGGAAACCAGAACAAATAGTGGGGAGGATCTCATCGACAAGCTTCGTCGCGAGGAAGAATGCTGCCGGAAGGTGCGGCGGATGACGAGGTTATTGGACGGGAAGTGGTTACGACTGAAATCTGAAATTGTGGCGCTCTTACCTAGGGGGTGGTCCGACGCTAGATAGATTTTTTATTATAAATTGATCTAATGGACTGTTAGTTATTGAAACCCATTGCTATTAGATTTTTCAAGGTCAAAGACTTTGGTTACGATTAAATAATTGCTATGTAGGAAGATAGGCACCCAGATAGGTACTTGTATCAACCAGGATAGAATGACAGGATGTAGCTCTCGGTAGACCTGCCTGGCATATATGGTCACGTGGTCTGCGCTTGAGGGCATTCGATCCAGCACGAAGTCTAGGTCTCCTTAGCACCTCACTGTTTATCGAGACATGGTAAGGATACTATAGTCTAGCGATAATAGCATAGGCATGATATCGGCGCTTTATAAGGGCGTTGAATTGATATAACCCTTCTATGTACAACCATTCAACGGTGGAGGAGTCCACTGTGAGGATCAGGGTACCTTGTCTCAATAGTTTCCTACCCTTTGCCAGTCATGATAGTAGGGTTGATATCGAAGTCTTCCTAGTATTTATGCCAGACATTTGATAGAATATCCTTTTAAATTCCTCGAGAATTGAACATCGATTGTATAAAATGTTGAATATAAGCCAGACCGTGAACGGTGCGGATGCAGGACGCGTTCCCCTCGATTCCCGTTTCAGGCTTAGCGGGCGGGCCGAGGGAGCAGATGGTTGTCGCGTCTTTCATCCTCTACAGCCCCCGAGCAACGTCTCCAACGGCGCGCCTGGCCATCGGTATCAGAACTGGGCTCTAAAGGGCTAAGATGGACGTGTCCAGGGACCGAGCTCCGGTCCAGACCCGACCAAGCCGTAGATCGAAGGCGTTGTCGAAGATGGATGCGAGGAATGTCGCACTTCCTCCCAAACTTGTCGCGCCGTTTGAGGCTTGGAAAAAGGACCCTTCGACGCTTTTAAGCACCTGTGGTTTCGGAAATCCTTCAGATCTACGCCAACACTACGACGCAACGCGATTAGTCAAGGCTTCTACCCTCCACTCGAGCAAAATTCTGTGGAGATTTCTAGCCGTGGCGTATCATGACTTTTTCCGTCAGCGATCTCCATCGGAACGCTACTCCTCTTCCAAGGAGGGAGTCTCTTTCGTGGTGAACGCCATTTGTCAATCTGAAGGACATGATCGCAACACCGTCAGGAAAGACGTGACCAGCTGGGCCTCTGAAGGGGGCAAATTCGTCGCCGTCGCCAGGGGGACAGGCGGCTGTGGGTCTTTCTTCCTGCTTCCAGGACACAGCAATTCGCTGTAAGTTCTCGGTGACCCCGTACCTGTCCCGTTGCTTTGCTTACCAGTGTGCGGGTGGGCGAAACACTTCACCGCAGGGGATTTGCCACTGGCCTTGTCACTTCTGCGAAAGGCCGGGATCGTCAAAATGGTTGAACAGATAGAGGCAAAGGACCTCGCCGCTTGTATCGAGGAGATGGTGAAGCTGCCCGTTTCAGCTCTCCCGCTGTACTCGCCGGGGAGTTCACGTGCTCCTCCACCCCCGACTCAGGACGGGGATGGAGACGAGGCATCCACGGACGATCGACGTCGTTCCGCCCGCCCCTCCGGTCAGACTCGCGATTTCGGCGGGGAACATCGCCATGACGGGTTGGTAGAATTGAATCGGCCCCGAGACCAGCACGAGGGGAAAGAGGTCATCGAGCTGGCCCGCGCGAGGTCCACGGAGGTCTTCGCCACCTCCAACCTACGCCTGCGGGAGACCACGGTGGCGGGACCCGACGTCGGCCGCGGCTTGATCAAATTTCGGGGGTTCGATGTCCCTCGTTTGCCAGATGGGGGCGGTGACTTGAGGAACATGCTCTTCGCATTCTGTAGGTCAACCCCTCTTCACACGACCCGTGCTAATCTGTCTGGAGACGTCGGCCCCATTGCCACGGGTCGCACTCTCCTGAAGGACAACGCGTACGCGGGGGAGTTCCTGCAGGTGACGCACACTCACGCGGCTCCACTCCACGCCCTGCTGGCCCTGTCCGCGTCCTACTACAAGGAATTACTTCCCCTGGGGGATGTCCGGCGGAAGGCGGTGGAGATCGCGGAGCTCCACCACCTCGGGGAGACCGTCAAGGAAGTCCTCGAGTCGATACGGAGAGGCCACGTCGATGCGTCCGTGGCTGTGTTGGCGGCCCTGTTGGATCACCATGCCATCCTCAATCGTTCCCTGCATCCTCGTTGTTGGACCCGGTATCTTTATCCGATGGTTGATCCCAGAGGGGCGAAGGTTCAGGCAAATCTCATCATGGCGAGCGACGCCATTTGGGCCATGACCTTTCTTCCTTTACGTTCGAAGCACGACTTCACACAGATTGACTATCACTGGGTGGGGGGGGAACCCGGGGACGAAGGGAACCGAGTGAACGGCATCCTGGGGCTGTCGCGGGAAATGCTTCACTACACGCACTCCGTTCGAGTGCAGGCAATCACGTACGTCAATGGGCAGCGGTTCGACGAATGGCAAGCCGCCGCACTCCAAGGAGGTGTCGAATCCACCGTCCAGTTCGTCGACGATAGTGAGGACGAGATACCGAAACGGGTGGCCATGGACACCGCGGAAGCGTACCGGTTCGGCGTGTTGACTTACCTGTCGGTACGACTCTACGGGTCGGTGGTGTCTCTCCTTCCGCGATCGTTGAGCTGACGTGTTCGCAGGCACACCCCGGGACATCCGACGGTCCAGACATGGTGTCGCCGCCTGGTCCGTCAGCTCCTGAAACTGCCAATCGAAGGCGAAGAGTATTCGGGAATTCACCCGGCGTGGTGCTTTGCCGTGGCCGGTGCCTGTGTGGTGGAGGAGGATGCGTACGCAACATTGGTCGGGATGCTAGAGCGCATTGCCGCCGCGAACAAATCGGTAAGTCCACTCTTCGGCCTGGGCCGAGGCCGGCGTTAACCGGTCGGACACAGAACGTCGACGAGGTCTCCGTCCTCGTCAAGTGGGTACGAGGGTGGCACAGGGAGAATGCGACGACGCACGGGTGGTGGGAAAAAATGACACAAGATCTGGAAGTTCGGACGGAGAGGGTGATATGTCTCAGTTGACTACGAGGTTTGTGGCGGAGTGAGGAGGCGCGAGCGAGTCGTGGCGAAGCGCCACAAATTGTTAGCGGGGCTTCGTCTACCAGGGACATGCCCTGGGCAAGACGTCCGGATGGACCGAAACCGTCTCCTTCGACCGGTCCCAACCCCATCTCCTGAGGATGCGGGTCCACGACGGAGTCGAACCCCCCGCTGCCCCGAGGACGACACAACACACCAGGTCCCCGATCACTGGGAGGAACTTATATCCATGGAAACTCCCGCCAGCCGCCACAAACAGACCTTGGACCATGGGCACCTGGTCCACGATGGGGTGCTCGAGAGGGGTCATGAGATCCCTGCAGAGTGTGTCACGACCGTGGTTCTCGGCCCATGGGGCGGGGTGTCAACTTACGGGCAGACCCAAAACTCCAACTGTCTGTCCTTGAGCTCGGGAATCATCTTTCCCAGCACCTCCCGGTTTCGCTGAATACACTCGATGGGGACCTGGGAGGCGAGGTCCGGGTGGGGAATCTCGAAAGTATCCGTACTCGTGATCTTCAACGACGTTTCTCGAGCCCCGGGAGGCATGACTTCTCCTAGAGACGGTGAGATACCAGTTTGCATTCACGCATTGTCACCCACCATTTTCGGTGACCAGGATGGGCATCGACTTGAATCTGTGGTATTCGTCGTCAAGAAGATGGAGGGTGGCCACGCCAACACCCACCACCGTAAAGAAAGGCTTCCCCTGGTGGCCGGGGACACGCTCGCCAACGCCCGATCTGTGAAGGAGTGAAGGGGTCCAGGGACCAGCGGCGACGATGGTCCGTCTCGCCCTCACGGTATGTCCCGCGATCGTAATCACGCCAGCACAGAGACGGCCATCATCCTCCATCAGGAGTTGGGAAATCGGCGTTCTCACGACGACGACCCCCAATCTCGAGGCTTCTTGGATAACCGCGCCTAACGCGAGAGCGGCATCGACCATACCTACATCCTTGTTGATCCAAAGCCCCTCGTCAGGGCCGAGTCGCGGTTGACTCTTCGACCCAACCATTGCCACGAACCGCTCCGGCGTGATCGACTCGTCCGTGTCGAGCTTCAAGGAAATCTCGTGCGATTCGGGCTGGATGGTTTGAATCCACCGAGTAGGATGGTAGCACTTTTGATAGAGAGCCTCATCCTTCCACCGCTTTTGGGCCTCGGTGGCGAGTTCCACGTACTCGGGGTCCACATATGGGCTTCGGACGATTTTTGTCTCGTCTCGCGATGCCGATTTCGTGGTCGCGTCGTCGAAGAGGATCACTTTCGCCCGGGGTCGCCTCCGTTGCAAATCACACGCGGTCGATGCACCAAAGCAACCCGCGCCAACAATGGCATAGTCATAGACGGTCTGATCGTTCGCCTCCATCACTCTAGGATGAGAGCGGATTCGCAATTTTGGTGGAGAGAGGGTGAGACGGTTTAGGACGAGGCTCTTTCGGTTTTTTTGGAATGCGACGTGGGTGCAGTGATACCCCGCTTCTTCGTCATGGAGATCGATGACGTACCTCCAGCCAGACCACTTTTCAGAAAGTATTTTGGGGTAAAAGGAGAGTCGAGCAATCGCCAGTCAACGTCGTCTACTTTTTTAGCCCGCCATCACAGGACCTCTAATTGACCTCACGACCAATGAGGCTGAGGGGAAGTGGCCCCATCGGAGCGGTACTTGGTTCTCACGGGCGACGCACGACAGCGATTCGTGTGAGATGTGCACCACCGTCTTCATCACAACACGGCCAATCATCAGCTTGACTAAACACGAGCCATCCTGTTGCAGTCCACGTGGTTCCCATGACCCGTTCTGTAAACCGCGAAAATTACCCTTGGCGCTTTGTAGTATTCCTCAGGGGGAGAACCCATATCTACGAAAGTGCGAGATTTGAAACAAATATTTCGCTGTCGAGTTTGACTTTGACGGCCAGCGGCACGGCCCGATCGAACATCGCCGGGTTGAATTTAGTTACCGTATGTCTAGTAGTAGCATGTAAAACTTTGTCGAAAGCGCCCCCCCCCCCCCCGGGACCCTCATCCAGACCTCACCTAGCCCTCACCCCGCGTCACCCCGCTTCTCTCCATAGCCCACGTGTCGAAAGAAAGAGACCCGGGACCACTGACATGGGCATCTGCGTTCAGATCGCAGGCACTTCTAGCCAGGTGGCTCGACAGGTCTAGATCCAACCCAATTCAAGGTCACACACACCACCGATGGCGGGCTTACGTGATGGAAACACCTGTATGAACTACGCACCGACGCACAAACTGCAGAAAGTAGCCAGAATGTTCCTTTCGACCGCTTTCGCTCTTGTGAATTATACCAGCTCATACGTAAAGACGGTGGGTTCTGACTGTAACTATTCCTCTACACCGACGTGCGGATCAATCACATCAGCGAAAAAGATTGTTGTAATATCTCCCACGTTTCGCCATCAATCCTTGGCAGATCAACTGCCCAGCCACTGCGACCAGGAAGCACGTGATCTACCCGGCTGGTCCATGCCAAGCCTCTTGGCGAGTTGCTCACAACAATAGCGCAGGTCAACCCCATGATCCTGGCGCAGAGATACTGCGATGAAGCCTCTCCCAGATGCGCTCCGTCTGCGACGATGAAAAAAGGACGCTGGGGCTCAGATCAAGCCAAGACCTCGTCTTCGACCCTGACGAGCCCTCCTC